CATGTAGCAATATAGTCTGATGCGTCCCTGGGCTGCCCCGCCGCGGGCTTCCCCCGAGGCTTTGCAAAGCCGCAAAGCTGTATACCCGGCGTATAAGACGACCCCTGATTTTTGGGGGATATTTTTAACATCAAAAGTCGTCTTATACGCTGGAAAGTACGGTATATATCACCTAAAGTCTTTGTAACTTTCTAAAAGAACCTAAATGGGCAACTGCATAAGAAACCTCAACAACAGTAATTGAACAGAGTGGTTTTTTTTTATTTTCAGAAGGCAGGACAAGAAACCTCAACAACAGTAATTGAACAGAGTGTTTTTTTTTAATTTTCAGTAGGCAGGATACAGCGCTTTTGTGACTTGTATGTGTACATACTATAGCTCTGCTAAGAGCTTGAGGAGAGGTCATGGATCGGCAGGATTCATGAAATACCTTAGCTTCTAAACATTCCCTTGGAGGGAACCCCTTTAGTGTACTGCATCTCACAGAGTTCTTGCTCCACATAGACCACATAGTCTTACCATATATTAGGCTGAGGTACTGGGCTTCAGAACTCCTGTTTCATACCATGATCTCTGCCCAGTGAAACCAACTGAGAATGGTCTCTGAAGAGTAAGTCTTTACCAGGAATTAAAATATTTATTGTGACACCCAAGCTGCGCTCTTAAAACTGAGTAATATTTAGTGTTTAACGGGAACACAGTATTGGAAGCAGGCCTGTCAACAGGGGGGACAAAGGGACCAATTTCCCTGGGGCCCAGAGATTCAAAGGGACCTAGAGCTCCCAGCCTCCACCACTGTAAGCACCTTTGAATTGCTAATGGAGCAGCAGGAGGCTGGTCTTCATGACTTTGAGGGCTGGGGGAATGTGCCCTGGCTCTAGGAAGCGCTAAGTGCTGACTGCCTTCGGCCCCACCCAGTCTGCCCAAAAGCCTCGCCCCGCACCTTGCCCCTGGGTCTGTGGTGACTGTCAACCCTGCAGAGAGGAAGTGAGCCTAGAGAAATACAGGCTAAAGAATAGTCCATTCTGTTGAATCCAGAACAAGTCAAACTGTAGTGAACTGCATTTTCAGTCTGTCTGTCTGTCTGTTACTCTTCCTTAATCAGCTCAAAGAGAAAACATCCCCTTCTTCCAGAGCCTCACAGGCCTTTGTTCTTCATACAAGACCATGTGGTGTTTAAAACATCTCTGCCAGACTGCTCAGCTTTCCCCTAAGAGGTTTTGGTTAGTCACTTGGAATTTCTATTGTCTCTGTTTGTTTGGGCCAGTTTCAACTAGTTCTTCAATTACTCTCTCATTGCACCAAGTCAGCATAGAGACATAGACATGTGTGTTTCCTGTGTCTTTCAAGGAGCACAGTTATCTCTTTTTGCCCCCACTGAAGTTTTGAGGGAAACTGAGGTGCACGTAAAATTGATTAAAAGCATTACTGAAAAGTTCCACTTCATCACAAGAAGTTCATTTTGTATGTTCCCCAGAACGGTTGGTAAATCCCTTGTGAAATACCACTTGCAATAAGTTATATCAAAATGTTCAGGAAAAGTCTACCAAATACATTTTCAGAAGACTGCATGAAAATTAATGTACCTATATTAGCATAATGTTGGGCTATTTATTTTTAAAATGCAAATCAATTTCTGTTCAACTTGAATTGAATTACTGAACAATTTTCTGCCATAGCCAAAAAACTCCTAAAAATCTAAACGAATTCATGCAATTTTTTCATCCTAAGTACTTTATTTTGCATTTTTTGAAGTAAAAAGTGTAATGCAATGGGGACTTTAAGCAAATTATTCTTTGGAAAATGAGGTAGCAGCATGATTAATAAGATTCTCTTTCACCTGCACATCTTCAAACAGATAAGAAGCATTTATAAGTTAAGAAATTCAGCTACCTATTACTTTACAAATCTCAGGGCTTACATATTCAAGGGCAAATATCTTAGGGCTAGTGTACTGCACTAATGGGGTGTGATTTGTAGAGAGTACACTAAAGGGGTGTGATTTGTAGAGCGCTCCGATTGCCTCATTCTGACCCTACTTGTGTACTCTGAAAGGTACCTTCTTTGAGTTAATGTAGTCCTACTTTAGAAGTTAGAATGCAGTAAGTTAGTATGCATTATAGCC